GCTGCTGTGTCGAGACTCCTCAGCTCTCCGTGTTGCTAGCTTGCTCGTTACCCAGAAACCGCTAACGCTATCGGCTCAGCCGGCTTCACTTCCACAGCAATGGCGCTCATGTGTGTTACTTTATAAAACACTGACTGTATATAACTGAAGTGTTGTCAGTATAGCGACAGATATATATGTGGTTGCACTTTCCCCTCGGTGTATTCCGGTTGGTATTAAAGTTCGCGCTAAATTTTACAAAACACTACGGCAACCCTGAGAGGTAAAAATAGTGATGTGCGACTGCTGTCGTATTCGTCATGTTGGAACAGAGGTACATGTTTTCATACATCCACGTCATTATGTTCACACTGAACGTGCAGGATTGATACATGTGCGTAACGCTTTATAATAGGGAACAAACCATACATGACTCATTCTGATTTAATGCATTGATATACGACCGAATTAGCAGGAATCCATAGAAGTATAGTTCCGGCCCATGCATTTGCTCAGTCTCTTTATTTAAAAAATTGCCTCATAAGTCTATGAGAATAATCCCACTGGTATTTTTATGGAACCCCATTTCTGCCAATGGGACTTTTTCCCTGTTACATTGGCAGAAATGGGTTTCAATAAAAAACATACAAAAATTTATTGTAAATGTTAAAAATATTATTTTGAAATATGGCTAATATGAAGCTTGCATAGCACAGCAGAGGCTGAGAAAATGTAAGGTCCTGAAAAAAACTTTAATGTCAGCGAAATCCATATACGTAATTGGTCGCATATCAATTCATTTATGCAGTACCGCAACAATGAATTAACATTCCTTAACAGATGATCTATTAAGTGTAAACTAATCACAAAAAGACATTGCGACTTTTTTAGTGGTGAGCAACAGGAATTCATGATACATCCCGCATTAATTCATGCATTAAATCATCATGAGTTATGCATTAGTTAAGTATCACTTAAGTATATGATTTGTACCCTCATTATAAAGTGTTGCCAGTGTTGGAGACACATTCACTCAAGCACTGTAGCCTACTTACAGTATGAGGGTAACCCTACTTGTACTTAATATTTATGAACATCATATATATTATATACCTCTACTCCACAACACTGAAGAGGAAAATATTGCCATTTTTACTTCACTACATTCATCAGCTTATAAAATACAATGCACTTTATATTATACTACTATATTATATTATATTATATATAAACAAGTAAAAACAGCCTCACCTGACCAGCTACAATATTAAAATGCTGTAATGTGTTGATGAATAAGAATTAATAATCTTATAATACAACTGTGAGAAAGGCCTCTCTGCTGCCAATTTTAGCTTCCAATACTTTTCTGAAATTAGATATTTTTTACATTGTGGTATTGCAATTTGTATGTCTTACTTTTACTGTACAACAAAATGCTCTGATGTCCAGTAATGACATACTTAATGTATTAAGATATATATACAAATAGTCTGCTTGGAACACTGATGTGTGTCTGATGTTTTTTCCACAAAAAAAGTATAATTTCCACATTACAATCCTTGAAAAGTCATCTACTTTTTAAGGATGTGTCTTGCTGGACACAAGATGTCTCCTACTTCACTGTAAAGTCCATTCTCAGTGGATGTGCACTGGTGGCTTCAGGTTTCTACATCACACTGTACAAGTTGCATACTTGACCAGGACTTCCTAAGCCCAGTTAAAGTGGTGTAGTATATGGAATTTGAGCTTGGTTTGAGTCCAGGATTGCTTAATGTGTGACAAACTATTTCTGCCAACAGGTGGCAGCATCTTTTTTTTTTTTTTTTTACATTAAGGTTTCTTAAATGCAGGGTTCAGACTGTTTGGCCAAGGTGAGGTTTTTGTATACATATGTGATGTTAGCACACTTTGTTCTGTGGGGAAGAGCACACACCCTTCACCCCTATGTAGCTGGGATTAAGTCAAATAGCACTGTGCTAAACCTGCTGGTAGTATGTGTCAACCTCTGATGGTGGTGATGGCGGTGGTGGAGTGAACAGCCCTGATGCTTCATGTGGGATCTCTACTGTGTCTGCAGCAGTGGCAGTCAGGGAATTGTAGTGTTAACCATTATAGATTAAATATCATAGTAAATATTACCATCTATCAAAAACAAATTATCAAAATCATCATTTTGAATTTCTCACAGAAACATCATCTTTTGAGTTACTGGTACATTATTTGGTAGGGATGTAAGAACACTATTGATTTTTAATTAGTTTAGTTTATTTAAGGCAGTGGTTCATTTTGTTTTGTGTTTAATGCCCAAACTGCTAGATAGTAGTGTTGTAAATGGAGCTGTACTTGTATAGCGCCTTTCTAGTCTTCTAGACCACTCTAAGCGCTTTTACACTACTTGCCACATTCACCCTTTCACACACATTCACTCAGCGGACAGAAACAGAAACTCATTCATACACACCGATGCACGGCATCAGGAGCAATTCGGGGTTCAGTATCTTGCTCAAGGATACTTCGACATGTTCGGCAATAGCCGGGGATCAAACCGACAACCTTCAGATTAGTGGACGACCCGTTCTGCCTCTGAGCCACAGCCGCCGTTGTAATCTATCTGCTGCCATTTGACTCTTCCACTCGTAGTGCTGGATTTTACCGGGACTGTGATAATCCCACTGTTGTCACTGCATCACTGCGACGTGAGCTGCAGAAAGCACAAGTGGACATGAAACTCCCTGAGCACTCATTGATCACGGTATTTTTTTTGTTATCTAACAACGAACAACTTATTGTTTAAATTATTTAATATTTATTTTATTATTTAATGTTATCTGCATCTTTTCAAACGAACATTTAACACAGAGAAAGTTTGCGAGACACACAACATGAATATGTAAAGCCTATTTGCAGTTTAGGCTATGGCAGTCCTTTATTAAAAAGTGATTCCCCCAACACCCTGTTCTCACTAGGCTATTACCTTAATGTAAAGAGTCATTTCTTAGTACTTCCTGTGATAAGCAAGCATACTACATCACAGAAAGTGCTGGGAATATTTAAGTTCTCATCTTGTTTTATTTCAGACCTTAATAAACACATGGGTCAAACTTACAAAACATTGATGAGTCAAAGAAGTTCTGTAGCTTTACAAAAGGAATATGCTACAACTTCTGTAAAAATGAATAAATAAAATATAAAAAAATAAAATGTGTGCTTCCTGTTTTACAGAGGTAGCTATACAAAACAGACATCTTCTGTTAAAATAAGTGCTTCCTTGGCTGATTATGCATTGAATTATGCGATCGCATAATCGCGTTTATCTGGAGGGACTGCTATGGGGTCATTATCTAGGCAACAACTTAAAGCCAGTCATTAATAGCCAGTGGCTGAATGTGTCTTTACTGACAGGACTGTGCAACACGATGGGGCTCAAAACAGCAAATGGTGGAGAGAATGCTGGAGCAGGACCAAGCCATCAAACGTGTGTTTGCCCAAGACAAAAGCCGCCGCCCACTCCCCCAGCTGACATGGCCAGACATAAGTGTTCTGGAATCTGTGAACAACACGCTGAAGCCAGTAGCGGACTTCACAGACATTCTCCCCGGAGAAAACTACGTAAGGGTGTCCTCACTGCTGCCCATGTTAGCCCATTTAGAAGGTGTGCTGGAGGAGTCAGATGAGGGTCAAAGCAACACTGCTTGACCCCAGGTACCGAGGGGACCATATGAAACCTCCCGAACTTCATTCCACAAAATCTGAAATGATGGAAGAGATTGTGACAGAGACCTGGTCACTCACATGCTGGAAAAGAGGGAGAGGAACCAGATGCCAGCGCTGCCACCGTGCCTAGGAAAAAAAAGTGGTCTTTGGGCAGCCTTCTTGGGAAGAGAGCAGCAACAGCAGCCACGCTCACTGATGAGCAATAGGTCGAGTCAGAAATGACCATGTACCTTCAGGAAATGGCCATTGATGGGGAAGAGGACCCACTGACTTGGTGGAAAACGAACGAAAAAAGGTTTCTGTTCATGGCAAAATTAGCACGGAAATATCTGTGCATATGTGCTACCAGTACTCCATCAGAGCGGGTCTTCAGCACAGCGGGTAGTGTAGTTACTCCAATCCGCAGCTTATTAAAACCAGAGAAAGTGAATATGTTGGTATTTCTGGCCAGAAACATCGAAATTTAAACATTATCTGTGGTGAAAGATATTAGACTTCTTTACGCACTTTTCGCAATCCGTTACAGAGCTATTGAATTTTGATTTTGCATAGGCCTATTGTTTTTTAAACATTCATTCGTGTAGCATATGACCACTTTACAATATTTCAATAATTTATCATTTATAATTGAATTTATTTTGTAGCCTATGCTTAGCACGTCAAAAAGTTTATTGTGCTGCTAATTATAAGTGAAATGGAAATCCTGAGTTTCGGTCTGCGTGTTGTTCCCGTTCTTTTGTTCTTGATTTGTTGTTCTTCTGTGTTTTAATAAATGTGTGTTATCAGAATAATCTTCATTCTTTCATTTGATTTGACATTATGGCCAAGGCAATTTGTCTTTAAAAGTAGGCTATTAACCAGACAAAAGTTATTTGACGTTCGCTGAAGTCTGGGCTTTTCTTAAACTGCCACTTCAGTGCAGTAGCCACAGAAGAGCTATGTGACAATGAGCAAGATGTCCTGATACACTACAATAGGCTACTAATAATTCATTAATAAGGGCTGTTTTCTTGTACAAAATTAAATATTTAAAGTTAAGTGTACAGTGTAAGACATGTAAAAAAGACAAGAGGCTAACAATGTCAAAATCAATATTTGTGTAGTCTGACACAGTATTTTCACAGACTAACACGTCACGTCTCTGGCATGGTATTTAAAATAGCATGCATACGCATTCATTATATTTTCAATTTCATTTACAGAGCAATCCCTGCAAAGTTTTTAGTTTAACTATAGGAGACTATAGGATTAGTGTGTGTCTGACAGGGTGGGGGGCATGGCATCACGATGGTAAATGTTAAATGGACCTGTACTTGTATAGCGCCTTTCTAGTCTTCCGACCACTCAAAGCGCTTTTACACTACGTGCCACATTCACCCTTTCACACACATTCACTCAGTGATGGCAAACCATCGAACAGAAACTAACATTCATACACACTCACACACCAATGCATGCACCGGAGCAATTTGGGGTTCAGTATCTTGCTCAGGGAGGAGCCGGGGATCGAACCCACAACCTTCCGATTAAGGAACGACCCCCTCTGAGCCACAGCCACCCCACGATGGTGGCTCTCCATCGTGATGTCGGTCAGCCATCATGATGGACGATGATATCTTCCATCGGCACAACCCTACCTCCCTCATATCCCTTAGTTATGCTGCTATAGGCCTAGACTGCCGGGGGATTTCCCATGATGCACTGAGCTCCTCCCTTCCTCTCTCTCTCTTTCTGCACTCATTCATGTACCATTAATGCATGTTACTAACTTTACTTCTTCCCCGGAGTTCTTGTGCTTTCTGAATGATGAATGATGAATGATGAATTGGCACTATACAAATAAAATTGAATTGAATTGAATTGAATTCATATGTACTGATTTGTCGGGTCTATTACCAACCAAACCCATTCGAACCACCGGCAGTAAAAACCAAATTGGTATAGAAAGAGTGTTCTCAAAAAGAAGTAATTGATTCCACTCTGGAAACTGGATTGTTTTATTATTTATAATGTACAAAAATAGTGGTCGGAAGGCATTTTAGAGCACATTGTCAAAAATTCTGAATATACTTAAGATAATACAGTACCATGACAGACATGAAGACTATGAACATTTCTTATATGAGGTTGTTTTCCTAAAATCTTCAACTGCTCATGGAAGAATCCTGTCTTCTATATGAGTGGTGCCATACAGTACAGGTTAGAGTCCTTGTGTAAGGCAGGGTATTGAGGCAGGCGCCAGGCACAGAACACGCTGTGTGGTTCCTGGCAGTATATGGAGCAGGACAGGCCACAGTGCAGTCTCATCCAGACACAGCTGTCATCAGGTCATGTAGATCAGTGGTTCTCAACCTTGCTGCCATGACCCCCAAACTGATACACATCAGGTAACTGACATGTATGTGATTAAATGTATTCTCAAGGATCCTCATCTGATAAGATTGAGTTTTTCCATAACTGTCTATGCAGCTTGGCAGATTAACATTAAAAAGTGTGAAACCTATGGACAGAATAGTCATTCTTATACATTATCTCTTTGAATGAAATAGAATGGAAATTAAAATATTCCCCATTTTTCCGGGGACCTCCTGGATCTCCCTCTTGGACTCCAGGTTGTGAACCACTGATGTAGGTGACCCCCTTCTCAGTAACACTTTATTTGAAGCTTTGCTCATGAGGGATTAGGAGGCATCAGAATTACATTTTAGGCCTACATTTAATGGTTGTAATTGATGTAGTGGTCAATTAAAGTACAGGTCAACTCTTTTAGTGTAGAGTGTAAACTGGTGTATGTGGAGTATTTTGTGTATGTGTACCTTGTCAAATATTTTAGAAAACTTAGTAGTTGTAACTAAATCAGTAAATTGGATATTACTCTTTCCACTTCTGGTTTCACTCTATGGAGTCTGGAGTGTGCCAAGAAAAATGATAACTGTACTTATATAGTGCCTTTCTTGTCTTTCGACCACTCAATGCGCTGTACACTACATGCCACACTCACCCCATTCAATTCAATTCAATTCAATTCAATTCAATTTTATTTGTATAGCGCCAATTCTTCTGAGTTATCACAGGACACTTTTCAAATGGAGCAGGTCTAGACCAAACTCCTGATAACATTCGCGTACATTCATACACTGATGGCAGTGTCTGCCATGCAAAGTGCCAACTTCATTATAGTTTAATAATTGTATTAATAACAACTTTAAATTTTTAGAAAAGCTATCTGAAACTGATTCATAAGATGTTGTCACTGTCCAGTTAAAAACATGCATCTCCAAATCTAGTGTTTTTTAGTTTTTCAATTAAATATTTTTTTAAATAAAGTTCTCAGTGTTGCTTTATACCTTATCATAACTGCATCCAACGAGAGCAAACATTAGCAACAAAGTCAGTTTAACTGCATTGTTTTATGTTAGACGTTTTATATTATAAAACGATGTGGCGTGCCATTTTCAGCTAAACTTTTGTCAGACGGCCCGTTGTTGTTGAATGAAGTTGAAATTATGAATGATCTCAAGCCCGATGAAATTAATCAATTATCTAAATTACAAACATGTCTTAAGGACAAAAAATCTTGGATGAGCTGCATTATCAGGTTGCCCCAATAAGTCCATTAAGACGCTCCAATTAATTCAGAACGGGTACTGACAGGAACTATATAGTACCTTATTACCCCACTAGAACACTGCACTTTCTGAATGCAGACCTACTTGTGGTTCCCATTGTCTCTAAAAGTAGAACAGGAGCCAGAGCCTTCAGTTACCAAGCTCCTCTCCTGTGGAACCAGCTTCCAGTTGTGGTTCAGGAGGCAGACACCCTCACCACATTCAAGAGTAGGCTTAAGACATTCCTCTTTGATAAAGCTTATAGTTAGGGCTGGATCAGGTGAGTCCTGAACCATCCCTTAGTTATGCTGCTATAGGCCTAGACTATCGGGGGATTTCTCCCGGAGTTCTTGTGCTTTCTCGTCTCGCAGGTTCTCATGGATCCTGGTGGAGCCTCCTGCCATGGTCCTGCTTGACTGCCATTGCTAATATCACTGATATTATTGTTATTATTATTATTAATATTATTAGTACTACAGTTACTATTATTACTGTTGTCACTGCTCATTGTCCCCAATCGTTGCTGTTGTCATGTTCATCATCATCAGTCACTACTATTAGTGTAGTTGTTGCTACTGTTGTTGCTGTGTAACTGTCTGTCTGTCTGTCAGACTCTCTCTCTCTCTCTCTCTCTCTCTCTCTCTCACCCCAACTGGTCGAGACAGACGACCACCCACCTAGAGCCGAAGGCAGTGTTGGCGGGGTGAGTAAATTTAAGTTAAAATGTATGAAATTATTATAATTTAACTCTGTAATTGTATTGGCACACGCCAGTCTCCATACATTTCATAAAGAACATGCTCCGGGAACTGAAAATGAGACTCATGTCAAATACATTGAGAGATACAATAGCCCATTATATCTATATCAATATGCTGTAGATGTAATGATGCCTTGACATGTACTTCAGGTAAAGTGTTACCCTCTTACATACTGAATATGCCATATAGAAATAAAAGAACACTAAATGGGAAAACATATACTGTACATGGCTACTTAATATATAATACACACAACATCCTCAGAGAAATCCAAATAAAGAATAAATTAAATAATTTAAACAATAAATACTATTAAAGGCAACATGATGCATAGCATCTAACAGAGAAGTTAGGTACAGATAAGTTTAAACAGTGACAGAAATTATGTCGCTAGTGATGCAGTGTACTGTACCACATTCAGCTACTTTATGTATACTACTGTTTTATTACCGTAGCAACATGAGTATACTTCTTTAGTATAATGTATCCATAATTAATTCAGAAATCTCTTATATATGACTTGTCTGTTTGAATTAGGTACATATCAGCTCTTAAAAGGACACAATTTTAGGAAATATGCTTGTGCATTGTGTTAACCACAAGCAATTGATAGCAGTTTAAAATGGGTTTTGAAGTGAGGTTCCTATCTATAATCAGTGTATACGGTAGACAGGAGTCCTGGCAGGGAAGATAAGCAATGCACTGCTGTGAACAGAGCATCAACAAAAAGTTTTTTAGACACCTAAAAATATTATTATCAGTTTAAGTGTATGATTTAGAATATTTTCACTGCTCTACCTCACTGTCACACACACACACACACGTGTATATGTGTATATACAGTATATATACATACATATATATCACAAAAAGACATTTTGCAGTACTCCAATGTATCAATATTTTCCTACACCCCTAGCTCCCACCCACAGCAGTACATTGCTCTGCTTCCATGCTGGTAATCCTGTCTGCTTGTCAAAACTGTGGGCGCATTGCAAGCCATCTACTATACACTGACTGGATAAGTACCTCATATCTCCCCCCAACTTCAAAATACCCAAACTATCCCTTTAATCTCCACGTAGGGTGTTTCTCATGTGCCCTTATTTGATGTCTCTTCAATCCTGAATCCTCAGGTGAAAACGATCAATCGTGTCCATCATCTTATTTCCCTTATTTATGGTCTGAGGAGCGAGGAGGCTGCCTGGAGGAGGCTTGAGCGAGGATAAAAGATCTTCTATCGAATCGTCTTTAATCGATTCCTCTCTCCTTTTTATCTTTACCTTGCATAAGGATAAGACAGGAAATTAGGGGAATGAGGAGACATTTGAGGCAAATGAGAAGCACCTTTATTTGTGATAATTTTGCCTGAAGATTTTCTTGAGTTTCTGTTTTGCTTCAGTATAACCTCTATTTGCTGCCATAAAAACCACAGTTGGTGTAATTGAAAGCAAATGTGAGATTCTGTGCAAGCTTGGCTGAAAGCATTCAAGCTTCAGATGATCCTTAATAACAAAAACAACAAAAAGGCAGAACCAACTGTAGTAATAAAAATATGTGGAAGTGCTTTGTTATCCCAGTGTTACCTTCGGAAACACTCTTGAGAGACACAAAGTATAAAACAGACTTCAAATTGTTATTTTTAGACGAGTTTTCTATGCAGCTGACTTAGAGCTCTTGCATGTAGTAAATACATATTCCACCATATGGTATGTGATACTTCATTGTAAACTTTTTCAGTGTTTAGGGTGGAGATCCTTTTTAATGGTCAGATGTGGAAGGACATGAAGCTGCTTTTGGTGTTAAGCTATATGTGGTCCACTCAGGTTTTTCATAAACATGTAGTACAGTGGGGTTGAACAAGGTGAAACACACAGCTTGCAACACGTGTACTGATGCACTGTGTAGCAAATATTATTGGAAAAACTATATAACTGTATAACCAGCACAGTAACTCCGTTACAGTTGGGTTTGAAGTCAAACTCTTAAGTTTTGAAATAAATTAATAATAATGATAATTTACTAAAAAATATTATTTCATATATCATTGATATATGATTGATAATATATATGATTTAGTTATACATTAGTAGCTTAGTAGTACTCAAAGATTCAAGTTTTTTGTAAAGAAGAAAAGTAAATTATTTCAACCAAAGATTACAGGTCAACAAAACTTTTAAAAATGTATTTCAAAACTTAAAAGTTCGAGTTTGACTTAAAACTTTAGTTAATTTAGTGAAGGCAGTTACCTTGAAATGATGAGTTTTCTTGCAATGTATATAGTGTAATGTGCCATAAAACTGATAATGTAATAATAATAATAATCTGCATATAATGTAATAAGATTGTTGAGCACATAATGTAATAACTTTTGTCCAACTCAATTCAATTAAGTTTTATTTGTATAGCGCCAATTCATAACAGAAGTTATCTCAGGACACTTTTCAAATAGAGCAGGTCTAGACCGAACTCCTTTTAAAATTATTTACAGAGACCCAACAGTTCCCAACAGTGTATTATTTAATAAGTTAGTTATTTTGTGATATTATTGAGTGGAAATTTGTTTTTAATACATATAATAGCATGTATTGTAATGATAAGCCAAGATAACAAGATAAGTGCAATTCATTTGTTTCAAGTTTAAGTTAATGTTAAGTGTTTCAACTGTGTGTGGACAAACACACTCTCAAACATAGACTTGTACACCTAAAACTGTGGAAATATCCATGTGGCCCACCACTGCAGAGACCTTGCAAGCAACACTACTGACACTGTTATTGAGTGGGAAACCAGTGAGGGATGATGTCCTGTTTTTTGCACTTGAAATACAGTACACTTAATAATTTAATTTCTTAATATAATGCATGTTTAATTGTTACATTAAAAATGTCTACTGAAATTCGAAATGTAAAACATTTAATATTATTATTTTATATGCAAAATGTTATTGTGATATGTGCTCAACATTTTAATTATAGGCAGGTTTGTTCTATTATCAGTTTTTACTAACCTTAAGTCGCCTGATCCTTCACTAACCTTACCATACTGTGGTAACCATGCTCTGATATTGTATAAAACAAATCTTTTAAAAATGGTGGCATTGGACATTAACATACAGTATGTTGTCACTGAAGTTAATGTGGGGTTTAGCTGAATCGTCCAATATCAGCGTTCTACAACAACATGGTTGCCTGACTTCAGCGTCACCACTGCTAAACTTCCAACTTCTAAATAAATCTTGTAATTAAAATCTAAACTTTGAGTTAGAATAGTTTGCAAGAGCGCAAGTATAAACACAATGAGGCTGTAAAAGGTGTGCTAGTGAGTAGAAAAGTCTCTGTGTTTGGTGTGCTATGTTTAATGTCACCAACAACCTCTTCTTAGCCACTTGTTAGCAACTACCTTTTTACAAATGGGGTATTTATTGATGTATTTTATGTCATATCTCAATAATCTCTTAAGCTTGTTTTAAGTACAGGCCTTATTTCAGGCATCTAACCAAAAACCCATTGAAGAAACCCACTAACTTTGAGGTGCTAAAATGCTAACTCAGTTCCTGATTTTAGGATTCATTCCTGCAGCACTCAACTAATCTTTACATGTGACAATATTGCATGTAATTTGCTCAACAGCAGTGATACACAAGCACTAGAAATTACATTCAAACTTATTTTACACACTTGTGAGTGGTATCGTATCGTGTCACACCTGATCTTAAAATAAACCATGTGCTGAAAAGCTGCCACTCTGAGTGATGGTTGGCTCATGACTATATTTGTGATGGCATCTTACAACAGACTGTTGACAGAGATGTAAACAAGCTGTGCTGAAACAAGCACTCCAGAGCTACTGTGGCATTTACAATTAGCACAGGTTGGCTAGAGAATGGTACGTTATGATCTGATCTTCTCTGCTGATTTTAGAAAGCCACAGGGTCATGTAAAGCATTATACATCTCATAAACTAAAATAAACAAAGCAAAATACTTACATATTTCTAAACTAAATATGTGTGTGTGTGTGTGTGTGTGTGGTGTGTAGGGATGGGAGATATATATTGTTTGCGATAATATTGTCATTGTTGTTTTGACGATGTGCAAATTTCCATTATCGAGTATTTAAATTACTTCGCCAAAAATATTGAAATGTACACGGAAACTCCTCACATCCACTTAATACAGGTGCAGCAATGCTCTCTACAGCATGGCAGGATTCAGTCACACGACTAGTGGGCCTACGTGATCACATGACATGATCACATGACCTCTCGCTAGCATCCTCCTTTCAACAGTTTAGCAGCATGTTGTGATGGTAGAGAGAAAATGCAAGCACCTCCAGTCCCTGAAGCTACCGGTACTTCAGATGATTTAGTGCTGAGACGTGGGTCTACCTCTCTGGCATGGAAATGGTTTAGTTTCGAAAATACTTTTTTAGCGCAGCGCTCAGAGCGCTTAAAGTCGAAATCTGTTCCACTTTTAACACCGCTGGGCCCTCGGAAAATGAGTTTGTGAGCGCGCTCTGCGCTAAAAACGCATTTGGTGGACACAAGCCCTACCTCAGACAATACCAATCACATTTTAAAGGATATCGACTGATTATCGTTATCGCCAAAATCCCCAAAAATATATAAATATCAGACATTATTTTTTGCCCATGTCGCCCACCCCTAGTGGTGTGTGTATATAATATTGGAAGACGACAACATTTGCTTTTATAAAATGTTGTCCTTGACCAAATGGTAAATTATTGAGCTGCCCTGAAGGAAAGGTAGAGTTGTATCACATGGTGAATGCAGATTTTGGTCTTATGAAGACCATTGTATTTACAAAACAAAACAGAAAAAGTTCTTAGTAGCATGTCTTCACATCATATATCGTATTTGGTCTTTAAACTGGTAAAGTGAGTTTTTGGTTGATTTGAGGCTGTTAATGTCTTGATTATGTTTCAAAAGAGGCTTAGCAGATGATTCAGAGATATCCAGAAATCACATTTGGCTTCATTGTGGAGGTTCACTGGATCACTGGCTTTTGGCAAATTATGGTAACAGATGTATCAAAAACTATAAAACAACCATTAAAGAGAAAAAGATGAACATTTAAACAATGTTGTTGTGTGGATGTACAGTAAGACAGTAATGTTGAAACTAAAAGTGTTACGGAAAACACATTTTTTAAGTTATGGTGACCTCAACAAATTATTGAACTTTTGGCTTTGTTAATCTACTAAATCTGCTAAATTGTCAGGAGGCTAACAAAATATAAATGTTAAAACCATGCATACATGCAGACATTGGAAGCTGATGAATCACAATTCAAACTAAAAGTAAAACCATCAATCATCTCCAAATTTAAATATATTTTAATGTAATTTATTTGAATATTAATTTAATTTAGTTTTTATTCTTTTTACAGCCAACAGCAGCAGTTCAAATAAAAGGGAATTAGCTTTGCCAGAATATGCTGTTAAATGAAAATTTATTGTAATTTGTACCATCAAATTAAATTTGTTTCATCAAGTATATTAGTAAAGTATAAATATTTTGGTGAATTTATGCAATTGGATGGTGGATCACACATGTTCACTCTAATGAACAGTAAAAGCCACCATGCCTAGCTTTAAAGGACACATCAGCCTTTTAAGTGTGTAGGAGAAACTACAGTGGCCATGAAACTTGTGAAAAGGTTGAAATGGTAGATGGACTGTACTTATATAGCGTCTTTCTAGTCTTTCGACCACTCAATGCGCTGTACACTACATGCCACACTCACCCCATTCACACACATTCATATAGTGATGTCAGTGGCTGCCATGCAAGGTGCCAACTGCTCACAGGAACAGAAACTAATCATTCATACACACTCATACACCGATGCACAGCATCAGTAGCAGTTTGGGGTTCATTGCTCAAGGACACTTCGACATGGAGCGAGACGAGCCGGGGATCCAACCACCAACCTTCCGATTAGTGGAAGACCCGCTCTACCTCTGAGCCACAGCCGCCCACTGAAAGGCCCTATCTAGAGCCAGTGTTTGTTTTGTCCGTTCTGGGCTACTGTAGGAACATGGCAGTTAAACATGGCGGACTCTGTAGAAAAGCACCTGCTCCCTCTGTAGATATCAAATCACATCTGTTATCTAAAGTAACAAAAACACAACGATTCTCATTTTCAGGTGATTATACGCTAATGAAAACATACCTATCAATATTATATTCCATTTCTGACAATAGATCCTCCTAAATGTTACACACTGGACAATTAAAATAGGTTTATTTTGATTTTGGATTGAGATACTGGTAAGTGGTTCAGGTTTTTGATTTAAGGGTTCTTTTATCTTTGACACCCGTTTAAGTTCATAGATAGCATAATAGATGACAATGTTTACAGTAAATTAATTGGCACAAATTAATAATTTGTGAACCCAAATTAAGAAACATTTGAACCATCATACCTGCTGGAGTCTGTATGTTTCAGCCACAAATGTCTGCATGCAGTTAGCCTCTTTAAATGCTAGCTTCTACTTCTACTCATATTTTCTGCAGAAAACTGGTACTACTAAAGACTTCCAACATGGCTGCCAGAGGGTGTTGCATTACCCCAAAAGCCTTCTATATGCTGAATGAAAGTGACAAAATCCAATCCACTATGGACTAGAACAGTACTGATAGTTTCCTCCTCTATGCTTATTGCTGGTGGCCCCAGGCTGGTGGCAGACAGCCAGACAGCTTGCTGGTGCCGCCAGGCTCTATCTGAAGGTATTTGAACCTCCATTGATAAAGCTAGTAGTGGTGGGACGGTCCAGGCCACTGCACTGTGGATCTCATCCCAGGCCGATTCCTCAGACCACATGAACCAGGGTCCAAGTCCAAGTCACCCACTACAGAGACCAGACTTGGAGCGTCCTGCTCTTTCACACAAGAGCATGTGTGTGTATTACAGATAGACAATATTATTTGCAATCAGCCCACACAGCTGCAGTTGGCCGCCGAGAGCCACTTAATTGTCTGCCATGTAGTCTGGGTATCCATGAAGGACACAGTCTCATAGCGAATAGGCCGACAGCAGGGGTGACTGCTGACATTCTTGCCGGAGATGCTCCCATTGGCCATCAGAGCCTTGAGGGCCAGGTCATAGTTTTTGCGGGAGCTGTGGCATGTGCCAACACAGTACTTAAAGAGGACTATCTCGTCTGAGTCGTAGCCGAGGCCGAGATCCTTCACCCGCATCTCCTTCTTCTCCAAGTGGCAGTCACGACTGTTCTTGGTCTTTTTGCGGTTCCTCTGTGACATTCTGGGTAAGTTTGGATTACGAGGGGAGCGCCGCCATCTGCTCTGCTGGATTTCCTTTCCCTGCGTCAGTGACCATTCCTCTACAAGAAAAAGGAAACGCACACAGAACACCTAGTCAATTATTTGTCTTTCAACATGCAAGTATTATAGCTCCTGTGTCTAGTATTTGAATATTTCTGACTTCTGTGGAAGTTTCGAAAACGCAGGGGATCAATATTTAACTTACCCTTTAAAAAGTTATTCATGCCACTAGGGGTCTCTCACATCAAAACACGTAAAACACAAAACATTTTAGTAGTGAGAAAACATTTTGATTAGTGTAGCTTTAAATATATTACAACTTCTATTAAAATTACCATTCCTGTCTCTAGGGCAGGATATTAATGTCACAGTCACTCTTTTTGATGACGTGATATTTTACACAAGAAAGTCATTAGTAATGTGGATGGCTAGAAGGTTACATTTATTTATTTATTTAGACATTTATGTTTATTTTACTCAGATACAGCTACAAAACCTGTCAACTTACTGTACTGCAGCCTGTATGACTACACATCACAATATAATAATATAACATCCCAAGAAATATCAGAACTAAACTGTAGTGCAGCTGTAATTGCAGCTGCATCATGGTATAAGTATACTCTGCTAACTGGTTAATAACAGGGGAACAAGCTTGAGGTATCAAAAGTTCATAAAGACATCTTGTATCACTTTTATTTACACAGCTATGTGTTAAAGAGCTCTTTTCCACTCAAATTCCTGCTGTATGAAAACACATTTGGCATGTCAACTGTGGTTAGTTAAACTCCCTCATCTACAATATCCTGGATGATGGTAAGCTGTATCAGAGAGATGAAGAGGAGGACGCTGTTTTTATTTCTGCATGAGAGCAACAACCAGGTGTCACAAACACTGACTGGAACTGTTGGATTCAGTAAAAAAAAAGAAGTCAGAAGAAGGTGTCAGTCAGGTGCTACAGGCAATGACCCTCAACCATTGACATACATAAAAATGGACGAAATGACAGCCCTGAAAAGTGAAGTCAAAACATTTCAGTTGCCCCCTGGTGTCTGACGGTAGTATAGGTCATAAACCACACCCCTTCCATGTTAGCAGATGGGACATGGGCCAATGGGCTGGATGAGTTTGGTTTTAATTAGTCATTTGAAGCTATAAAAAAGTGGTCAGCTGGGTGTATTTACAAGACTTCGCCAACCCCGATCACTACTGGCTCTGAACAGCAGTCAGTTTTCACTGCTTATGAACTTGGAATATCCTTGGAATATATCTGTCTGTGAGAACTATTCCTAAAAACTCTTCTCTTCAGATCATGACCACCGACCACCGACAGATTATCTGTAGAATTAGCACAACAAAGAATGAAGATTTATTCAGTCAAAAAAGAAGTCAAAGTAGATAGAAAGATAAATCACCCATCATCCATCCATCCATCCAATTTTTCATATGTCATTTAATGGTCCCATATTGTAGAAAGTAAGATTGCCATTTTGTGACTATAAAGCACGTCTAGGTGATATTTAAATGTTGTTAAAGTATCATAATGCTCAATCCACTGACAAATGCATACATTTCATGTTCAGAAACTGTGCCTTGAAACGAGGGTCAGGACTTTGTGATGATGTCACAACTATACAGCCCAGGTAGTCTACAATCTGTTTGTTATCTGTGGTTATCAAAAGTCAAATAAAACAAATAAAAGTATTTTTATAAATGGTAATGGCTACATTTCTATAGTGCTTTTATCCAATGCACTTTACAAGGTACCACACAGGGTGCTGGCCTGACCATCTGAAGCAATCTAGGGGTGCCCAAGTACACCTCAACATGTGGACATGTAGGGTACAAAGCTGAGACACACCCCAATGTAATTTTTAAATGTAACCAAGAAAATTAATTTGACACAAAATCTTTTTAAAGTTACAAACAAATTAAAGTAACCTGAATTATTATTTTAATTGAATTGAATTTAAAATGTTTTAATTTATCTGATCTAATTTAATTTAATCTAGCGTAATCTAGTTCTATTTCACAGTCCTATGTATTGATTTCACATTGACTGGGGCAGACCAGTCACCTGTCAACCAATGACTGCAGACAGAGTCAATTAACTCAGAAACATGATATCATGATCTGTTCTCTCAGGGGTTCTGTCTGTCCCTCAGTAAAAGTTGCTTCCAGCAGCTTTGTGATTAGCTCTTAAGAGGAAATCTTTGCTAGGAATTTTTCACGCTATTTAGGAGGACTGCTGGTGGTTTGTGAATACGGCCACAGATGTCTGCTCTGGCCTTTACAGAAAGGTGAAAAACTTCTCACACTTAAGTTTATGCACTAGATTAGAATGGACTTTTATGAGCCAGCAGGCTAGAGCATTTGTGATTAAATTGAAAGCAGACATTGGTGGTGAAACCTTGGCGGAAGTAGAATTCCTCTGGTTATCAGCTGAGTGAAAATGTCACTAGATTCAGAGTCATTACCAGGGGAGCTGAGCAACTGGCTGAAATCCAACAGGAGCTTTCTCAGTTACCGGGAACATTTTAAATAAGATTTACCCACTGGGCTGTGCAGACCTGGCCCAGGTGTTTGACTGATTTAATTTCTACTTCCTGACCTGGGGACGGCTTTGCCCTGCACTTTCTCTAAATGCCTCCACACAATCATTTCCTAAGGGGATGGTTATTACCACTGTAGAATGCTCATTTACAGTAACATAGGTGCTTGTCAGTTCATACCTTGATGTTTATGAAAAGAAACGTGTAATCATGAGGAAATAAACAACAACAGAAAAATGCACATACATATTCCCCAGGTGAAGAGCAGAGGACCCTCTCAGTGAAACTCCACTAAGGTACATATTCAGCCGTGTTAAAACAAGCCAAATGGGTTTGCATTATTTCATGTAATTATACAACTATTCCTCAATACATTTCAATTGGGCAATGTTCAGACAATCATATGTAACTGTGCTAAACATTATGATTGTTTTTAGAGAGAGTGCAGTCATGAGAATGTCTCAGTGTGATTCTTTAGTGTCTCAGACATTTTTCATCACTGTTGTAAAAATGGATTCATAAAAGGAGAAACAGCCTGTCAGTATCAGCAGTGATTGACACAATGCAGAAACTGCTTCAAGCACTACAGTACTTGTACCCATCTTTGTGCTTCTATGTCTTTGAGTTCATATTTATTTATTAGATCTTAGTGCTGCATTGGACACCATTGACCATAATATTCTTTTACAGAGACTTGAGCATCAAATTGGCAGGAACCGCACTAACCTGGTTTAAGTCATACTTATCAGATCGTTCTCAGTTTGTACACGTTAACAATGAATCATCCATAAATACTAAAGTTAGTCATGGAGTTCCACAAGGTTCTGAACCAATTCTGTTCACTTTATATATGCTTCCTTTAGGCAACATTATTAGGAAACACTCCATAACTTTCATTGTTATGCAGATGATACACAGTTATATCTATCAATCAAGCCCGATGAAATTAATCAATTATCTTAATTACAAACATGTCTTAAGGACATAAAATCCTCGATGAGCAGCAATTTTCTGATGCTAAACTCAGAAAAAAACTAAATTCTTGTACTAGGCCCCAAACACCTCCGAGACTAACTGTCTTAAGATATAGTTACTCTAGATGCTATTACCTTGGCCTCTAGCACCACCGTTAGGAATCCTGAAGTTATCTTCGACTGCCTTTTTTCATTTACATAACATTACAAAAATCAGACACATCCTGTCACAGACGGATGCAGAAAAACTAATCCATGCATTTGTTACTTCTAGGCTGGATTATTGCAACTCCTTATTATCAGGTTGCCCCAATAAGTCCATAAAGACTCTCCAATTAATTCAGAACACTGCAGCACGAGTACTGACAGGAACTAAGAAAAGAGATCATATGTCTCCTGAATTAGCTTTTCAGCACTGGCTCCCTGTAAAATTCAGAATAGAATTTAAAACCCTCCTCTTTACCTACAAAGCTCTTCATGGTCAGGCCCCTTTATATCTTAAAGAGCTCATAGTACCCTATTACCCCATTAGAACACGTTCCTCTTTGATAAAGCTTATAGTTAGGGCTTGCTCAGGGGAGTCCTGAACCATCCCTTAGTTATGCTGCTACAGGCCTAGACTATTGGGGATTTCCCATGATGCAATGAGCTCCTCTCATCCGCTCCCTCTCTTTATGCACACATTCATGTCCCATTAATGCATGTTACTAACTTCCCTTCTTCCCCGGGGTTCCCCGGTGGAGCCTCCTGCCATGGTCCTGCTTGACTCCCACTGCTAATATTACTGATATTATTGTTATTATTACTAGTATTATTAGTACTGTTACTATTATTACTATAACCACTGCTCATTGTCCCCCATCGTTGTTGTAGTTGCCATCATCTTTTTCATGTTCATCATCATCATCATCAGTCACTACTATTATGGTAAATGGTAAATGGACCTGTACTTGTATAGCGCCTTTCTAGTCTTCCGACCACTCAAAGCGCTTTTACACTACGTGCCACATTCACCCTTTCACACACATTCACACAGTGATGGCAAAGTCCATCTAACAAAAACTAACATTCATACACATTCACACACCAATGCACGGCATCGGGAGCATTTGGGGTTCAGTATCTTGCTCAAGGATCCGGAGCCGGGGATCGAACCCCGATTCCTGACAGTGGTGCTAGAGGCCAAAGCAATGCCATCTAGTGTAACTATATCTTTGGACAGCGAGTCTCTAAGGTTTTTGGGGCCAAGAACAAGAATTTTGTTTTTTTCTGAGTTTAACATCAGGAAATTGCAGCTCATCCAGGATTTTATGTCCTTAAGACATGTATGTAATTTAGATAATTGATTAATTTCATCGGGCTTGATCGATAGATATAACTGGGTATCATCTGCATAACAGTGAAAGTTAATGGAGTGATTCCTAATAATGTTGCCTAAAGGGAGCATATATAAAGTAAATAGTATTGGTCCAAGTACAGAACCTTGTGAAACTCCATGACTAACTGTAGTATTTATTGAAGATTCATCGTTAACATGTATAAACTGCGAACGATCTGATAAATATGACTTAAACCAGCTTAGTGCGGTTCCTTTAATGCCAATTTGATGCTCAAGTCTCCGTAAAAGAATATCATGGTCAATGGTGTCAAATGCAGCACTAAAATCTAATAATACAAGTACAGAGACAAGTCCATTGTCAGAACAGTCAGAAGGTCATTATTAACTTTAACCAGAGCTGTCTCTGTGCTGTGATGAACTCTAAATCCTGACTGAAAATCCTCAAATAAACTTTTCTTATGTAGAAAGTCACACAACTCTTTGGCGACTACTTTCTCCAGAATCTTAGAGAGGAAGGGGAGGTTAGAGATTGGTCTATAGTTGGCTAAAACCCCTGGGTCAAGAGTGGGCTTTTTAAGAAGGGGTTTAATTACAGCTACTTTAAAGGACTGTGGTACATATCCTGATAATAAAGAAAGATTAATCATATCCAGTAAAGAAGTGCCAATTAAGGGTACGACTTCTTTAAGCAGCCTAGTTGGGATCGGGTCTAATAGACAGGTTGATGGCTTTGATGAAGAAATTATTGATGTTAACTCGATAGCAGAAAAACAGTCTAAATATATATCTAAGTTTACATTAGTAAAAGTCCCTGAACTTGGAGAGTCACTGATAACTGTTGATGGCAGTCGGTGATTAATTTTCTCTCTAATAGTAATAATTTTATTATAAAAGAAGCTCATGAAGTCATTGCTACTTAAGTTTATGGGGATATGTGGCTCAATAGAGTTGTGACTCTCTGTCAGCCTGGCTACAGTGCTGAAGAGGAACCTAGGGTTATTCTTATTTTCTTCTATTAGTGCTGAATAATAGGCTCCTCTGGCATTACGGAGGGCCTTTTTAAAAGTTTTAAGATTATCTTGCCAAATTTGGCGATATACTGATAATTTGGAAGAGCGCCATTTCCTTTCAGATTTCCTAGCTATTTGCTTTAACTGGCGGGTTTGGTGGTTGTACCACGGTGCTAGTCTCCTATGTTTTAATAATTTCCTTTTTATAGGAGTGATAGAGTCTAATGTTGATCGTAGTGAGCCTGCAGCACTATCAACAAGATTATCAATTTCAGAGGGACTAAAGTCGTTATAGGACTCTGTTAAATTCAGACATGGCATTGAATTAAAAACTGAAGGAATCTCCTCCTTAAATTTAGCTACAGCACTGTCAGATAGACATCTGCTGTAGGAAGTTTTGCCTAATGGCTTATAATCTAATAGCATGAATTCAAAAGTTATTAAATAATGGTCAGATAGGAAAGGATTATGTGGGAAGACTATTAAATGTTCAATATTGATTGATAGAACAAGGTCAAGAGTGTGATTAAAACAATGAGTTGGTTTATTTACACTCTGACAGAAGCCAATTGAGTCTATTAATGATATAAATGCGTTACTAAGGCTGTCATTGTCAACATCCGCATGAATAGTAAAATCACCTACAATAATTACTTTATCTGATTTAAGGACTAAACTTGATAAAAACTCTGAGAATTCAGATATAAAATCAGGGTAACACTTTATAATGAGTACACACTATTAAGCATTAGTTAAGCATGAATAAATAATGAATTCATCATTTATAACGCATGAATACACATTAGTATGTAGTTTATAAACACAGTTAAAACATTTTTATTCATCATTGATAAGCACATTAGTTATGGATTAGTAAATACTGAATTCATCATTTATAAAGCATGATTCTGCTGTAAATAGTCATTACTATGTGGTTTATAATCACAGTTATAAATGTTTTACTCTTCATTGTACTGTACATTTCTGCATGCACTTATTAAATCCTTAATAAGCCATAGATAGTGCTCACTTTAGCTTTTATTCTATAATGCTACCAAACAAAGCAGATAAGTCCAAAATACTTAATTAAGGAGTAGTGCTTTGTAACTGTGAATTCCTGCATTAATAACTGTTTATAGGCCATCATTAGAAAATTAATTTGTTGTGGGTTTTATAGAACATCTGCTAACACAGTCACTAATCATTAATACATGTCTGAATAGTGGATGTGCAAGTGCATGCAGAAATGTACAGTACAATGAAGAGTAAAACATTTATAACTGTGATTATAAGCCACATAGTAATGACTATTTACAGCAGAATCATGCTTTATAAATGATGAATTCAGTATTTACTAATCCATAACTAATGTGCTTATCAATGATGAATAAAACATTTTTAACTGTGTTTATAAACTACATACTAATGTGTATTCATGCGTTATAAATGATGAATTCATTATTTATTCATGCTTAACTAATGCTTAATAGTGTGTACTCATTATAAAGTGTTACCAAAATCAGAGTACGGTCCAGGAGCGCGGTACACTATAACAAATAGAACTGGCTGCAGTGTTTTCCAGTTTGGGTGAGAAAGACTAAGAACAAGGCTTTCAAATGAATTATAATTTAGTTTAGGTTTAGGGTCCATTAAAACGCTCGAATCATATATGGCTGTCACTCCACCTCCTCGGCCGGTAAGTCGAGGAATGTGAGTATTATTATGACGGGGGACAGGGGGTGGATTCATTTAGGCTAACATACTCCTCGTGGGACAACCAGGTCTCAGTAAGACAAAGTAAATCAATATCATAATCTGATAATAATTCATTCACTAAAACAGCTTTAGAGGACAGAGACCTGATATTTAACAGTCCACATTTCATTCTCTTATTTTGTGCTACTGAGCAGTTAGTTTTAATTTTTATTAGGTTTTTAACTCCTCTTGTTTTTATTTCTTTAAATAATTTAGGTGGTCGGGGGACAGACACAGTCTCTATGGGGGTTTGGGTGGGTGACTGTTCTAAAGAAAGCACAGAGAAGTGTGTAAGACAGCAGCTCTGCTTCCTGGTCCTAACTCTGGACTGTCAGGTTTTAGAAATAAACTTCGCCATGTTGCTAGATAAGAGAGCCGATCCATCCAAAGTGGGATGGATGCCGTCTCTCCTAATCAAATGCAAAAAAGCATGTATTTCTGGACTGGGTCTTTAACATGTCTACAATATGACTAACAGGTCTTCCACTACTTTTCCAGAATTTTAGTAAACAGAGCTTTTCCCCCCATCTTCTCTGCTACTATCTCAACATCCACAATATGATCCTATGAACTTCAAGTGGTGGACAAAATGTCATCCTTGACTGTATCATATCATCTACTCAACCTGCATGCTGGTTGTACAGGATACAGCATATACAGCCCATTTACTCTGATTTATTTTCTGTGTTTTAAAATAACAAAGATTATTAATTATTAAAACAACTAGGGCAGACTGATGCTTGAAGTACACACCTTTAAACTGACTGAATTATTTCAGATTTTTTAATATGAATTTGTATTATTAGATGAGGTATTATTCATCAGATACAAAAGTGAGGTCTGGTTTGGCTACTTACCAGACTGACTGGTAGAATAAACAGACACACAATCCACATTCATTCATCTAATTTCTGTGCTAGCTGTGATGAACAGGACTGTGATGCATGACAGGAACCTGCAGGTTGAACTGATTATTTTTATCCTGTTACACACAGGGGCCCTCGCTCAGTCGACCAAGGTCATACTCAGTGTTGAAAACTACCAGGCAAATTTCCAGAGGCTATATTAATCATCCAGGAGTGACATGCTGCTATTTTATGGCCTCCATTTCAGATTTATGAAGCTATGTTTTCAGCGTCTTAGCTGCACAAAAAGTAAGTAAGGGTACAATGACGGATGAAAAGACTGAAGAATGAAGAGTGCCCTCATGAACTTATAAAAGCGTAGCACTGTATCCCTGCAGTTAGCCAGTGTAACATGGCCAGAAGAAAATATTTTGTGTTGCCACTGGGCAAGAGAGTATGGTCAGCTGTAGCACTGTATTTGTGCATTGTTTTGGTCTGAGATGCTGGTGCCACATCTAGTAGCAGTGAACTTCATATATATGACTACCATCAAGCTAATAGACATGTGAACAAAGATGTTATTTGAAGACTAACATTGGGTTTTAACTCTAATATTTTGTGGTTAACCTTGTGTAACCACAAAATGTTGCCAAATGGGAGGTGATATTTAGGTTATCTATGCTAATAATAAGCTTAATATTAGTACAACAACAACAAAGAGTAGATTGTAGCCGTGCTGAGACCTTGCTGATGAAACAAGAACATGAAATACTTACCAACAGCTTCAGACCAGGGTGTGTGGACTCTGCCCTGTTCCAGTTCCTCTGCAGGAGACCAGGAGGGATGCCTGAGGACACCCTGGAGATCTGACTGAGCTTCTTTATTCTCGTCCTCAGAAAACACATCTTCCACCAGTGTCAGCAACGATGCCACCACCCACAGCATCACCTGACAATATCAAGGTGCACATACTGGAGGTCAGCAGGCTGGCTGGTTGGATGGAGGGAAGCTGGAAGATTCACTGATTTATTTGCACTTTATCGTAAAAAGAAACAGAAACCCGATTCATTGGTACTTTTGGACAGAAGTATGGCTGCCAAGCATAAAACAAAAAAAAGCAAAACAGAGGTAGCTACATTTCTTGGCATGTTATCAATGTCAGTATCACAATGTACTTGCACACTTGCATGAGATACTAATAAAACAAAGACTCACTCTTGAAAACATTAGCTTCCAGTTGTAGTTTGGGAGGCAGACACCCTCACCACATTTAAGAGTAGGCTTAAGACATTCCTCTTTGATAAAGCTTATAGTTAGGGCTGGATCAGGTGAGTCCTGAACCATCCCTTAGTTATGCTGCTATAGGCCTAGACTATCGGGCGATTTCCCACGGTGCACTGAGCCCCTCTGTTCCTCTCTCTCTCTCTTTCTGCACTCATTCATGTGCCATTAATGCATGTTACTAACTTCACTTCTTTCACGGAGTTCTTGTACTTTCTCGTCTCGCAGGTTCTCATGGATCCTGGTGGAGCCTCCTGCCATGGTCCTGCTTGACTGCCATTGCTAATATCACTGATATTATTATTATTATTATTGTCACTGCTCATTGTCCCCCATCGTTGCTGTTGTCGTCGTCATCATCTTCTTCATGTTCATCATCAGTTACTACTATTAGTGTAGTTGTTGCTACTGTTGTTGCTGTGTAACTGTCTCTCTCTCTCTCTCTCTCTTTCTCTCTCAATTCAATTCAAATTCAAAATGGGCTTTATTGGCATTAAAGTTTATTCTTAAAAAACTATTTTGCCAAAGCAAAGCATCAAAATACAATACAATAAGTTGAAATATTCAGACAATACACAATATGAAAGATATATACATAATGAACATTATATTAGTTATATACAGTGTGTGTGTGTGTGTGTGTGTGTGTGTGTGTGTGTGTGTGTGTGTGTGTGTGTGCGCCTTGATCACTCACTGTCCCTCAGGTTGTGGAATGTTAATACATACTGGGCAGCAAGGTGTGCCCGCTCTCCTTCTCCGAGGAGTATTTTTAATTTGGAGAGGTCGTTCAGCTCTTTGAAATCTGGAACCAAAGAGCTGAACTTGTTCAAATACATTTTTCTCGTGCCATTTAATTTTGTACATTGTAGGATAAATTGCTGTCTCAACCTCACCTGTCCAACAGGGACCACATTTTCTGTTTTCTTTTGGTTGCCATGATTTTTTGTGTCTTCCTGTTTGGATTGGCAGTTTGTGGTCACTGAGCCTGTACTTGGTTAGGATCTGTCTCTGCTTTCTATCTCTGACAGTAGAGAGATATTCTGCTCATTCATAATCTCTTTTAAGGGCAAGATAACATTCCAATCTACATTGGCTTTTAGTTGTTTCTTCCCAATGGTCCAGATAGCTTTCTTTACATTGTGCTATCATTTGCTTTACTCTGATTACAGTTTGTAGAGCAGTGTTGTTGTGAGGCTGGTCAGAGTGTGTCTGAGAGGGGGCAGTTAGCCTCAGTACCAACTGACATAGGGGACTCTTTTCTGGGCTCAGCTCTTGGGTTTGGAGGGCTTTGGAGTGGAGGGTGTCTCTGGGGCTGGATTTCAGGTGGTTAAAAAAGTTGAGCTTTCTCTTCTGAATGTTAATTATCAGTGGGTATCTGCCTAATTCTGCTCTACATGCATTTGTTGGTGTGTTTCTGTCTACGTGTAAAATGTATCTTCAGAATTCTGCATGTAGAGATTCTGTTGGATGTTTGTCCCAAAAGGTAAAGCTCTGATGACTGAGTGGACCCCATACTTCACTACCGTATAGCGCAATGGGCTGGATGACACTATCAAATATATATATTTTTTGGAATATGGAAATTATAAATTTAATTAAAACTAAATAAAAACTTAATTGCATATAGAGCTCTTCGAGCTTTTTCTTTTAGAGCATTCACTGCCATGTTGAAACTCCCTGATGCTGTTATGGTTATACCAAGGTAGGTATAACTCATGCTGTGTTCAATGACATGATTATTGATGGTAAATTGGTGTTTGTTCTCATGACACCTGGGGCGGGAGCAGCACATTTATCTAACTCAACAGCCAGTTCATTTATATACACATTAAATAAAGTCGGACTTAGATTGCAACCCTGCCGAACGCCTCTTCTCTGGGGGAAGAAATCAGTTAGTTTGTCTCCAATTTTAACAGCACACATGTTTTCCAAAATACATTGATTTAACCAGATCATACATTTTGCCACCTATACCACAGTTTAAAAGTCTGTAATAGAGCCCTTCATGCCAAATAGAGTCGAAAGCTTTCTTGAAATCAATAAAGCAGGTGAATACTTTTCCATTCTTAGTTTGTTGTACATGTTTGTTGATTAAAGTGTGAAGGGTATATACATGGTCGGTGGTGCGGTGTTTTGGGAGGAAGCCAATCTGACTTTTACTTAAGATTGACTGTTCCTCAAGGAAATCTAGTGTTCTTGTATCAAGAATACTACAGAATAGTTTACCTAGACAGCTGCTGACACAGATGCCACGGTAGTTATTAGGGTTTGATTTTTTGATTTTTTCTTATATATTGATCTGAATTGATTTGATTGATTGGTATGTCTTTGTACAGATTTTCAAAATGTGATCTCCAGATGTCACCGTTTTGGATGGGTAATGTCTGCTCTTGCTTTGTGTTGAACTTGTTCTACATATCCCAGAATTGATTTTGGTTAATGGCATTCTCAATATCTTCAAGTTTCAATTGGGTATAATTTTGTTTTTTTGATCCTAATTGTGTATTTATATGTATTTAAAATTTCATTGTATCGAATGCGCAGGGCTGGGTTGTTCGGTTGGCGGTGTTTCTCATTTGCTATTTTTCTCAGCTCTTTTCTGATTGTTTTGCATTCTTGATCAAACCATTTGTCAGTATTTTGCCTTTTAACAGGTCTCCGTCTTTGCATTATCAGGTCAGCCCTAATAGCTGCCTTATGAAATATCATATTGATATCCTCAATGGCCTTGTTTACCCCATCTCTAGTAGGGACATGATTTTGATTATATATTGATATGCAATTCATCAAATCAGGGGAGTTCAAAGCCTTGATGAATTTGTCTACACTGTCTGGGGCCAATCTGTAAGAAGGATTTAATTTATACAGCTTACTGGGTTCCCTTTTTGTGTCACTAATTTGACCTGACAATTTAAAGAACACATTAATTTGGTTGTGGTCTGAAAGGGGGGATTGCTGTCTGACAGTGAATGCACTGATAGTTGAGGGGTCCATGTCAGTGATTGCATAGTCTACAACACTAGACCCAAGAGCTGAGGAGTATGTGAACCTCCCTAAAGAGTCCCCTCTGAACCTACCATTAACTATGTACAGGCCTAAGGCCCGACAGAGATGCATCTCCCTGCCACTTTGATTTAATATTGAGTCAAGGTTATTCCGACGGGTGATGTTTGGTGTGGTAAACAGGGGGCCTGACCGAATACATGGTTGTTGCCCTGTGTGTCAATGATATCAGGTTCAATTCCGGTACGTCCATTCAGACCTCCAGTTAGAAGTACATTTCCCTGGGCTTGGAAATAGGCAATTTCTGAATTAAGGGTGTCAAAAATGTCCTCTTCAAAATAAGGACAATCCGATGGGGGTATGTAAATTGCACTGAGGTATAGATCCCTATCGGTTATGCCTAGGGTTTGATCTAACCTCAACCAAATGTGCGATTTACCCTGTTTTACTGGTGAGGTCTGATTGCAAAGATCTCTATTATACCACACCAAAATCCCCCCCCATGTTCTGCCCTTGCGTGTGTTTTTTAGTTTTATGGAGGGCACTATGACTTCATTATATCCTGGGGGACAGTGAGTGAGCAAATCATCTTGACACCATGTTTCTGTGAATACAATGATATCAACGTCTTTGATAGATTTCATGAAATCAGGGTAGTGGAGACCCTGAATATTCCAACAGCTTATATGAAATGAACGCATCAAAAAAGAAAACAATCAAAATGAACCTGTATAGTGAGACAAATATTTAAAAAACCTACTATCTATATATTTAAAATAATAATTTGATATTAATTCCATGAAATGTACTATTTTCAATAATATTACCATTGTACTGACTACTACTATTGCTATTACTATTACTAACTAACAAATATATGTCCATGTTGTTTTGGAACTCAAATTTGAAAGTGCTCTGAGTAAATATATCTTGGGGGTCTGTGATGGTCTCTGAAGCTTCTGGTAGAAGAGAGGGTGGAAGGGCTGCGTCCTAGGGCCGTGTCTTTGAGGGTCTTTGCAAAGATATTCACCGTCTCTCTGTGTAGATGGAGTCCATCGTAGAGGTCCCAGGTGAGGGCCAGGTGGACGTTGGGTAAGGTGGCACAACCTCTTCTGATCTCCATATTGATGACATGGATGACGTGAGGAGGGGTGTCTGTCCTAGGCAGCAGGGTGGAGATCACGATGCGGGTGTCAGGGAATTCCTTGGTGGCCTGCTCCGCCATCTTTCTCACTGCCTCAGCAGTGTCCCTTCGGAGGTTGTGCAGGTCGTTTGTTCCTGTGTGGATCATCAGGCATTGAGGGCTCCCGAGGGTCTCCTTTCTCAACAGCTTCATTGCCTGGCCTGTGGTGCTTCAACGTTTAGACAGCACTTTCTTAAAAGGAAAAAGCTTGTTGGTTTCCAGGAATTTCCCGTTTGAGTCAGCCAGCAGGACCACTTGTGGGGCTTGTTCTTCAGGCTGAGTGGAGGGCAGCTGGGATGGACAGAGTTGACTGTTGGGAGCTGGCTGTGTGGGTGTTGGTAGGGTGCAGAGCAGAGATGGTGGGACAGAGACAAGGCAGGGGTTTGGAAGACTAGCAGGGAGAGTCTGTGTCTCTGTCTCTGTAGTTGTCTTTGTGGGGACTGTTGAAAGTTGGTCTGTCAGGTGTCGGACTTGCCTGGTTCCTTTCTCTGTTCTCAGTGTCCTCCTTCACTTTGGCCCGGAGCACACTGTTCTCCTGTTTTAGTGCCTCTACACTTCCTCTTAGCTCAGATGTCGAGGCCTGGTTGTCTCTCTTGAGCTGCTGGAGCTCCTCTTGAAGCTGCTGCACAATGTTGTCTAGGGGCCAGACAGCCTGGCCTGGGTCAGCTCTTTGAATTCAGCAAAGTCCAGCTCCAGCAGGGCTATACTCTCCTTCAGGAGCTGGCAGGTGTGGGAGGGGCAGAGATGGACAAGGTGGTGGGGTTCTCTGTTGGGCTCTCGTCATCTTCACTGTCACACGGAACATTGCACCTCTTGGTGTCCACCTCAGCTTTGATCAGGGAGAAAACTTCTTCAAAGGATTTCAAGTTTGCTTTGCCCTCCTGGACCATCACCTTTCCCTTTGTGTAGTAGGTGATGGTGAGCAGGGGGTCATCCTTGTTCATGTGTTTATCCTTACAAATCTTCAACCGGCCTCCTGAACCGATGCCCTCACTGGAGATTTAAGGATATTTCTTGCATAGACTTTCCTTCCAGATGTATATGGAGTCTGTGAAGAATATGAGGTTGTTCTTCTTCCTCCCTTCTTTGTGTAGTGCGTAGTCTGTGAACAAGACTTCTTTGTTCTCCTGAAGTGTCTTTTCCTTAAACTTCTCCCTGGCTGCTGCACTCTTGCAGAGAGCAGGGTATTTAACCTCCCTGCTCTCTGTTCTCTGCTTGGCTGTTTCCATGGCGACCACTTTGTTTGTTTACTGTGGGCTAACTCTTTACTGTTGCTAGCTTTTTTAGCCTTTAAACACAGTTATTAATGTTATGATTTTTGGTTTGTTCTTTTCCTCCTTATCTTCATAAAACACGTCTTCTGTTATCTTATTTAGCCTGCTTCCTCCTTAGAAAGGTTCTACACTGTGGCAGGTGGTAGCTTACAGCAGTTGATACACAGTTGCCAGCTAGCTTTTGACAGTCAGCTGGTTGTTTTCATTTAAAAAATATATCCAAAAATGGTATTTTCTTTCTTCTGCTGATAAAGTATTTACCTTTTCTTTAGAGTCCTTTTTGAAGAAAATTCGATGGTTTTTTTGCAAAATGTCGCACTGTTTAGGTCCATGTTTGAGATGAGCACTTTGGTCAACTTTGGTTGTTTTAAAGTGCTTAACAAATAAAGTTGGATTGGATTGGATGAATTCAGGAGCACATTTTTCATGCAGCCTTTTCTAGTGGAGATTTCTCTCTCTCTCTCTCTCTCTCTCTCTCTCTCTCTCTCTCCTCCCTCTCACCAACTGGTCGAGGCAGATGACCCCACTAAAGGGGAGGGGGTGGCCTGCTCCTGGCAGTTTTTCCTTGCCCCTGTCGCCAAGTGCTTGCTCATGGTGGTACTGTTGGGTCTCTGTAAATGTTATAAGGAGTTCGGTCTAGACCTGCTCTACTTGAAAAGTGTCCTGAGATAACTTCTGTTATGGATTGGCACTATACAAATAAAATTGAATTGAATTGAATTGAAAAAGATAGTGCTACTGGTGGTAAAAACAATCCAATGGGAACCATGAATGTTAGTATTTCACTATATTTCACTAGATAGCTGGTAGCACCAGTTAGATGAAAACTCAAGCAATCATTAGGTTTCATCACCATGAGACCACTTTAAAATAACATTTTCAGGATCATTTTGATGATGAGTTGTAATAGGTTGAATGGTGCTCTGTTATCTCCACTCTGCGCCCTGTACGCCTCTTCTTGCGCTGTAACCTGGGTTGACTGGCTCTCTTGTCACACACTAGTGATGGGAATTCCGGTTCTTTTTAGTGAGCCAGATTATTTGGCTCAGCTCACCAAGAAGAGCCGGCTCTTTCGGCTCCCAAAAGGCTCCCAAGCACCTCTTCATTTGACCACTTATACCTTTTATAATTCAGCCAAATTTAGCATTGTTTGACTTACGATTTGTATGTGTACACATATATCACTTAAATTATTCAATACACCCTTTGTACTGAAGTATTCAAAAGTAAAAAATTACATTTTCTAATATCATTAAATTGCTGTAGCCAATTGTTTTCATTCCATTTCCAGACCCTTGTAACTCTCTGAAACCACCCAATGAATGGACTAACTTGCTCATAGAACCACTCTACAACACAAAGCAGATAGAAACACCTGTAAAAATTTAAGCATAGATATTTAAAAAGAGGACACTTTGCTTTGTTAATGCCCACCACTGACATTTGGACAATTAAAACCAACTGCATGCACGGAGCGGCGTGGAGATCATCATATCATTCTGCCTTTTATTACTTTACAAAAAAAACCGACACATCACTATCACGCACCCTTATCTATGTTGGATCATATTTTGTGGAATTTTCTGGTTTTCCCTCTGATGTCCTCTGCCTCAGCCACGACACAGAAAGCTTTACTTGTTGCTAAAGTAACACTAACTGCTAACTGCTAACTGTTGCTATCTGTAATGTTAACTACCATCAACTGGTTAGCTCAGTTATCTGTGCTACCAGGACTAGGAGTTTGGAGCACTGGAAGAAGTGTTGGTGTTTACACTGCTAGTAAAGAGCTTTGTACGGTCAAGGGGAAAATATTTTTCAGGCCTGGGGAGGGGAGTTGCACCTGTGGTGTGCCAGAATCGTAGCCGGGCTAGCGAGCACCATAGCTGGGCTCAGCTGCCCTGTGGTCATCATGGCAGAGAGACTGAAGCGAGTAACAAAGTGAGACAAGAGTAAATCATTGGCTTTTAGTAGTTGCTTGGTGAAATAAAAGGCTGCAGAGAGACAGCAAGTTGGCTTTTTAGTATTTGCATTTAATTCAGGGATATGCAGTGTTACATACTTTGTGGAAACTAAAACGTACCATAGGTAAGCTGATCTATCCCCTATCAGCTCTTTGACATGGAAATTTTGTCTGGCTTTAAGCCTATAGAGGCCCTGTCCCCACGGCCTTGTGGGATACCTGCAGCCATCACCTGCATCTCTTTAATTACTTAATTGACACATGACACCTTCTCACCACACAGGTAAGGTTAATATTTTAACATCACTTATAAAATTAGTTTCTCTGCGTTGTCTAGCAGCAAGGTAAGGGTCAGATCAAATGGGCAATGTAGTGGAAGCTGGCCGATGGTGAAACGTATATACCAACAGTCTGCCGGCAAATCCCACTGGCCTACTTCTCATATATTCACACACTCACCTTCCAGTTCTTCAGGTGATGCTGGGTAGTCGACACCTCCTGCCTCCACCAAGTTTTTCCATCTGAAAAAGGAAAATGATAATAATAAAGACAAGCTCTTCATTCAATAGCCTAACTGTTCTTTTTAAATCCCTTGTCTCTGTCTCTGTCTTTCTGTATTTACCTCTGTCTCTGTCCTTCCGTCTTTACCTCTGCCTCTGTCCTTCTGTCTTTACCTCTGTCTCTGTCTCTCTCTCTCTCTCTCTCTCTCTCTCTCTCACCCCAACTGATCGAGGCAGACGACCACCCACCTAGAGCTGAAGGATCTGTCCTAGGTTTCTGCCTCTTAACAGGCAGTTTTTCCTTGCCCTTGTCGCTAAGTGCTTGCTCATGGTGGTACTGTTGGGTCTCTGTAAATAATGTAATAACGGGTTCGGTCTAGACCTGCTCTATTTGAAAAGTGGCCTGAGATAACTTCTGTTATGAACTGGCGCTATACAAAAAAAAGGGAATTGAAATTTAATTGTTCTTCACCCATGTCATTTATATGTACTGGTACACACCACAAGATTAACGTCACAAACAAAAGGCCAACTCATCAGTCCATCAAACAGATACCCCAACAAATCCAAACTCCTACACTTACAAAAGGGAGAGACAACAAAACAAAATATTTTAGGTGTTTTGTTTGTGATTGAATTGGGACTGTGTTGTTTCTTTGATGTAAGTGACTGTGTCTTCAGTTCCTAATTAAGCTACTTAATGTAATATTCATTGGTAGGTTTTCCTTAGTGTATGATCACCTGAAAATAAGTTTCCTTAAAGTAAATTCATTACCTTAGAATGAGCTGTTTTTACCTACAGAAGGAGTGTGTCCTCTTCTACAGAGTTCACTATGTTGAACCTCCATGTTTCTACAGTAGCTTAGAATGGTCAGATCAAACACTGGCTCTAAATAGAGCCTTTAGTTTTTTGCAAGTTTTTTTAAGGTGTTTCCCTTGGTTGCAATCTGCAATCTCACCCCTAGATGCCTGTAAATCTTACAGGAATCTTATCTTCCTTTAACTGGCCTCTGTAAAACAACAGCTGGCCCCTGTGGGGCTAGAACTGCCATTTGCCTCATAAAACAAATTACTGTCTGATGGGTGATGATGATGGCGATCACACTTCAGACATACTGACATACTGACCCAAGAGCAGCAACCTTTATGTAAAGATTTCAGAAAAATGTGGATTGGTGGCAATTTCTGTCATTCCACTAACCAAACTGAGACATTAAAAACAGAGGGTTACATGAGGGTTTGAGTGAGATCATGACATGATGATAGGACTTTTACATTCACAGCACAATCACTTGGATTATACCCAGGTGGACACCATGCCATTTTAAAATAGAAATCAGAAAAAAAGGTTAAAACTTTGCACCAATGGACATGACTGACACAAGAGTGATTGAACATAATCTGTGTCCCATTTTAGCAAAATCAACAGTTCATGAACAGTTACATCATATTGGATGGACTCCATCTTACCAGACCTAAACCGAAGTGCTTGTGTCTGAACACAGTGGTTCCGACCAGTCAGCGCCCTATGAGGAACTACTAGCAGCTACAACAAGGGCTACAGGTGTGGTTTAACGCTAGGTCTATGTGATGTGTGTGAGAAGTAACTGCTCAAAAACAAGAATGGTGTCTGGTAAAAAGGTCAGTACTGATGCTACTAGCATCAGTTCTGTAGTATTTCTTAATTGAAAGAAGAGCAAACATCACACATCTGTAACATCATATATAATGCATTTGTTAATGTCATTCGACCAAGTGGCCACTAATCATAATTAATGATGAACTTGGCTATTGACCTCTATCTGTTGTTGGAGGGCAAATTCCTGCTAATTTCGGACTCTATGAGTTGAGAACTACTAAAACCATTAATTTGGTCTTTGTGACCATCCTCTGTAGACTTCCATTTGGAGAAGGGTGGAAGTTCAGTCGTTTCAATGACCCAACGTTCATAGGCTGATGCATTCTCTGAAATGTGACACGGCATTACTGAGTTCATAGTAGTCAGTTCATCAAAGTGTTTACATTTGCTATGTCTGGTAGAAGTCAGGAGGTCTTTCCTGGGAAAAATCCTCTGCCACATAGGAAGTGATACATTTTATGTTTCAGTTTCAGAAGTGCGGGAAAGGGCTTGGCACAAGTAGCAATGTCACTTACACAAATTAAACTCATTCAAAATCCACAGAGGAACTGGTAACACATAGTGAATATCAGAGATCTGCGATCCATCCAAAATATTTCATATATCTTATTTTATGGGATGATAAACTAACACAGAGGCTTTGACTCCCTGTAATAAAAATAAATTACATTTAGGAGCTCTTAGAGTTAAGAGAGAAATGCAAAGTTTCTGTTGTCTACATGGAATCTGCTAACAACACTGACAGGAGATTTTGTCCATAAATCACCAAAATTTCCACCAGGATGTAAACAGCAAAGACAGCAAGAGAAAAGTTTGTTGTGCTTCATGTTTCTGAAAATAGCTTAGCCTCTCTCTGCTTCCTTCAGTAAAGGAGACGTGGATGGAGAGTAGAGTTCAGGAGGAGATCAGGATCAGATTACATAACACTGACCGTGTGTGTGTAAATGATAGCCTGCAACAACACACTCATGTCAGCCACTACAGTTTAGAACAGAACAGACCTAGGATACAGATGAGAAAGGTAAGAAAGTGTAGCTTGAACCAACTTGTTTTCCTGTAGCAGAATAATGACCGTAATGTATGTAATGACAGCAAAATAGTACAGTCCAACTAGTGACCCCTTGTCATTGGAATGTTGTGAATGTTGAAAGTGTTGGATCAAAGTCTGAGAACTTTTTGCACTTATTAGAGTTCTTCTGGGGCTTTCAGTCACACCTTTTGTCCTTTACAATAAGAAAAAAACTGAGACAAAATCATGTTGTTGTATCCTCTGGGGATCATGAATGTGCTCAGCATAGCTGTTTTTGTCAAGATACCTTGCGGTAGAGTGGGTGAATCAAGCACTACTAACACTGTTTTAAAATGAAAAATCTGAATCCTAATGCTGTATTACTAACTGGGCAAAACAAGTGGGCAACAGAATCAGGTCCCCCCAGGGGCTTGGAAAAGTCCCAGGTTCACTGCTTAGCAATTAATTTAGGGTAATTCAGTTTTAACCTTGTCTGGGAAAATGGAAATATGCACATTAAAGCACAATATCAACTGATGAGGGCCTTAAAGGGGGGTCCTTCGATCATTTAGTTTGGTGCTTTCATGCAAGGTAAAATTTCAGTATCGAAACACTGTACATCAGGGGTCTCCACCATGGTGCCCAAGGGCCCCTAGTAGCCTGCAAATAGCCTATGAGATGCCCACAGAGGAGATCAGAAACAGAACCTTAAACCTAAACTAAATTATAATTCATTTGAGAGCCTTGTTCTTAGTCTTTCTCACCCGACCTGGTAAACACTGCAGCCAGTTCTATTTGTTATAGTGTACCGCGCTCCTGGCGCGTAGTCTGATTTTCTATCTGAGTTCTCAGAGTTTTTATCAAGTTTAGTCCTTAAATCAGATCAAGTAATTATTGTAGGTGATTTTAATATTCATGTGGATGTTATCAGAATCAGAATCAGAATCAGAATTAGGTTTATTGCCAAGTAGGTTTTTACACCTACGAGAAATGTGCCCTGGTGCATTGGTGCATAAAATATACAAATCACACAAAAATCACACAGAAAAATAAAGTACTTTCAAAATATAAATAAATAAAGATACGAAAGATAGGAAAGGAAAACAGTGCAGAAGATGGGAGTGCATTAATGTAATGCATACTGTATATACAGGGTGGGTATAAGAGTCAGTGTCAGTGGGGGGTCCGGGCCTTGTTAATGAGGCCAGCTGCAGATGGGAAGAAACTGTTTTTGTGTCGAGAGGTTTTGGTCCTGATGGACCGCAGCCTCCTGCCAGAGGGAAGTGTCTCAAAGAGTTTGTGACCGGGGTGGGAGGGGTCAGCCACAATCTTGCCTGCACGCCTCAGGGTCCTAGAGGCGTACAGTCCTAGAGGGATGGCAGATTGCAGCCGATCACCTTCTCAGCAGATCAAATGATACACTGCAGTCTGCCCTTGTCCTTGGCAGTGGCAGCAGCGTACCAGATGGTGATAGAAGAGATGAGGATGGACTCGATGATGGCGGTGTAGAAGTGCACCATCATCGTCTTTGGCAGGTTGAACTTCCTCAGCTGCCGCAGGAAGAACATCCTCTGCTGGGCTTTCTTGGTGAGGGAGCTGATGGTCAACTCCCACTTGGGTCCAGGAGTGGGTTTGTAATGGCTTTGAGGTGGGAGAGAACAAGGCGCTCAAAAGACTTCATGACCACAGAGGTGAGGGCGACCGGTCTGTAGTCATTGAGTCCTCTGGTCCTTGCTTATTAGGCGACAGGGATGATTGTGGATGCTTTGAAGCAGGCTGGCACATGACATGCCACTGCTTTGATGTCCTCACAACAGGTTTACAGAGCTTTAATTTCTGGCTGCATGAAGGAATCAGGTGGACCATGACGTGGTCAGAGAGGCCCAGTGTGGCGTGATAAGCTCTGCTGACTGTAGTGTAACAGTGATCCAGTGTGTTCTCTCTGGTTTGGCATTTAATAAATTGTCTGTATATGGGGAGTTTGTGGGTGAGGTTTCCTTTGTCAAAGTCACCAAGGACGATAACTAAGGAGTCCGGGTTAGTCTGCTCTACACACAGTATCTGGTCGGCGAGCGTGCGCTGTACCTCCTGCATGTTGGCCTGCAGTGGAATGTAAACACCGGCCAGAATAAATTCAACTCAATTCAATTCAATTTTATTTGTATAGCGCCAATTCATAACAGAAGTTATCTCAGGACACTTTTCAAATAGAGCAGGTCTAGACCGAACTCCTTATAACATTATTTACAGAGACCCAACAGTACCACCATGAGCAAGACCTTGGGAGATGGGGGCAAGGAAAAACTTCCTTTTAAGAGGCAGAAACCTTGGACAGACTCCAGCTCTAGGTGAGTGGCCGTCTGCCTCGGCCAG